TAAATGTTACGTTAACAAACCAGACGCCTATTCAGCTTGTTGTTCTTTATTCTGTTGTTATTACTAGAACTTGACTTTCAACATAAAATATCGGTTCCTGATCCATGATTTTATATATTAAAAAAAAAAATTCCTCCAAAAAGTGTGACTTATATATGTTTTTTTCTTTTTCCTTATGCATTTTTTGGCTGGAGCGACTTACACTCCGGAGCGACTTAGTCCGAAAAATACAGTACGGTGACATAAATGAGATCTCATCTTCAATTTTGCTTTGCTATGGGTCAGTCTCTCAGATACAGATAAACATTTACAGGAAACACAGTGAAGAGAAGTGTATTTTGAGAGTGGGTGGAGATTATAAAAGAGACTATATCAGCTGTGCTCGGGAGTTCAGAGGTGATACGCAACATCCTGATTTTGAACAGAAGTCAGGCACCATGAAGACGGAGACACTTTTATTAGTGTTTCTTGGTAAGTCTCCTGTTTGTTGCATCTATTTATTAAACGTATTAAATGTGTGTATTTACTGAAAGTGCATTTTCTCGTTTGTTGGACAGTGCTGTGTGCTGGAAGACGACTCTCCAGCGCAGAGACTCTTGTTTTCGAAGGAGTGGAAGGAGGATACTTTAAGGAAAGGTTTTTGTTTCATACATCTGGAACATATATGTTGTTCTGTAAAAACGATTGTGACAAAAGAGAAAACATTTTAGTTGAGACTCCTGGCACCAGAACGCAGAGTGGCAGATACAGCATTGAGTTTAACAAACGTTCAAATCATTTCATCCTGCATGTTGGAATAAGTGATCTGAGGAGCTCCGACTCCGGCTCTTACCGATGTGAAATATGGTCTGGAAAAGTGATGGAGGACTCAGTAGAATTTCAACTTGAAGTCTCCGGAGGTAATCACCATCATTATTATCATTTCATCTATTTCTGCTGCTCTTCTGTCGTTGTGTTTTAGATGATATTGCGCAAGTTACTCGAGGCATTTGGGCACTTTTTATTTATTTTTTATTAAAGACAACAGAATATAACATATAAAAATACAACAATCAATATTTAACAATTACAATAATCAGCACAAAACAAAAGATAAAAACATAAAGCAACACCCACAACAAATACAAAACAACAACAAAAAAAGCCTCCATTTCCCCCTGACCACACACACCGACACAAATTTGGTTAAGTTAAGCAAAAGTAATACAGTACTGTGACATGAACACACCTTACTCATTTTGGCTATTTCATAATTTCCTTTTCTCTCTCTTTCTTCCTTTTTTTAAAAATAAAAAAATGTCCCAATACTTAAACTAATATTATTTTTTACCATCATCATTTCCTTTCATATTTTTTTGTTATTTATTACAAACTCAAATCATAATTTTAACGGCATTTCATTTTTTCTTCCCCATTTAAAAAAAAATAAAAATTAGTCCCTGTACTTTAAACTAATATTTTCACCATCATTTCCTTTCACCATCTTATTATTATTATTATTATTATTATTACAACCATAATATGTATTATTGTCTCTACTATTAATTACAATAATTACAACAATAACTTATTTCCAGGCATTTATTTGAGACCAGGCTGCAATTTGGGGCAGGTGATTCATTTCTTCCTCACAAAAATTTTGTTCAGCAAAACTGGGAAAATCTAATTCTTTTAAACAGTATGACTATAATTTACAGTTATACGTCGTACGATTTAGTTCTGGTTTAGTCCTGGTTCAGTCCATATACGACACAAAAGTTTGGCATCTACGCTCGCTGATTGTTATTTGACGATCAGCGACAGTTGGTGAGAATAAGTTAAAGTGCTGTAATAGTCGTGTAATGTTTTATATTTTAAATACAGTAATATTGTAATGTAACAAATTATTTTGAAATGACAGAAACAAGTCATAAATAACATGTTACAGTTTTGAAGTAAGTTGCCCAACACTCACTTTTTAGATGAGAAACGGATGGGTCAGTCCGTATGAAATCATCAGTTTTCAAGGAATCTCCCCTATGAGCCATCTCAGATTTGGCTGAGAAAAAAATAAAAAAATGTCTAAAATCACCAAATGAAAGAATTGAAAATTTTAACTCAATCCCTTGAGTCGTTCCTGAGTTATGGCCATTGAAATTTTGGGCCCATGCTCACTTTTTCGGAAACCTTAATTTCTAAGCATTTTTGAGAGACCATAACTTCATCAAAAATAGAGCTAGGAAGCTGAAAATCTATATTATTGTACATTCTTGGTCATAGATTCTGAATCTGTTGTCAAATATTGTGTATCTTTATTAAGGGGGGCGTTGAGGGCCCCCAAATCTCACATTTGGTTGCCGCTCAATTTCTTTTTCAATTTTTGAGGTCCAAGGTCTATTTACTCCAAACAGATATTTACAAACTAACTGCTGAACCTAAATATTTGAGATAATGACCATTTCTGACACAAATCTCACACTTTTCTGAGCTTCCATGTTGGTCACACATGTCTGTGTTTACTAGTGTGGAACCAAAATGTCATTTTTCATGAGTTGTGTACCTGTTAGTTGTGTGACTGTAGATCAGTGTGTTGTGTAACACCAGAAAAAGAAGAAATGGAAATTATTTCTGTTCCAATTACAATTTTAACGGCTACACTGAAAGAGGAAGGAACTGTTATCTCGAAAACTATTCATATTTTACTATACAAATACATAGAATTCTAAATAAAGATTTTGAGACACTCCCGTCGCTTGAGCTTGATCCTTCGCCAAGTTATGACCAGAAACGCATATTTGACCTTGGTTACCTTGACCTTCAAGTGACCTTGACCAGTTTCAACCTGTAACATCCAGTGTGCCCCGGTTATGTGTGTGCCAACTTGTGTGATGATTGGGTGTATATTTTAGGCCGCAGATGGTTCAGAAATTCCCAAAATTGCCTTTATCCTTTATAACAGCGTGACCTTTTAATTGACCCGTGTGACCTCAAATGACCTCGAATCATCACCAAACGTTTTTTGTCGCATCGGGCACGGGGACTTGACGCACGAACCAAATTTGGTGACAATCGGTCCATAAATGACGGAATTACACACAGACACACAGGGTGAAAACAAAACCTGTTCAAACCTTCGGGGACCAGGTAAATATTGGTCAAAAGGTAATTCATCTCAAAAGTACTCAGATGCAAAAAATTCTTACAATTCCCCCTTTCCAGAGACACCTTGGTTTTTGATATCGAACCAGTAGTTGCTGAGTAAATGCAGATTGAAATTCGGCGACCAGGCAAAAAAGCGAAACAATAAAATTACGATATCTCGGAAACAGTAATTTGAAATTCTGACTTTTCTTTGACAAAGTAGGGTGTAACTCAATGGGTGAACTTAGGTGGACTGACCCTCTACCTGTAACAAATCCTTTAGCTGAAATGTTCCGCAGTATGGCATTGCGCCGCCAGACCAAGCTCCGAGTCAGAGCTACGAAAAGGGTGTTTAAGAGGGGATGTTTTTTCAAGATTCAAGGAGCGATAATAACACGTGTAACTGAATAAATGCAAGATACAGACGTTTAAAGTAAAACTGTGGAACAATCCAGGCAAAATAACAACATTTCCAGCTCTTTAAACCTCTAAAATAGAACATAAACATTAGAACTGTTGCTTTACTATTTACTATGGGTAAAATATTTGTTTTTGTTTTTTTCCAGCTGAACCCACCTCAGCTCCAGATCATGAAGAGACTCATGCACCTGGAACTACTGACTCCTCAGCTTCACCTACACAACAAAATAATAATGATGCATCAGTTTTAAAGAAGCACTCGGAGTTACGCACCTACTGACTCCTCAGCTTCAGCTTCACCTACACAACAGCGACATAATAATAATAATGATGCATCAATTTTAAGAAGCACTTGGAGTGATGCACCTACTGTCTCCTCAGCTTCACAACGACATAATAATAATAATAATGATGCATCAGTTTTAAGAAGCACTCAGAGTTACGCACCTACTGTCTCCTCAGCTTCACAACGACATAATAATAATAATAATGATGCATCAGTTTTAAGAAGTACTCGGAGTTACGCACCTACTGTCCCCTCAGCTTCAGCTTCACCTGCACAACAACGTAATAATAATGGTGACGCATCAGTTTTAAGAAGCACTCAGAGTTACGCACCTACTGTCTCCTCAGCTTCACCTACACAACAACGACATAAAAATAATAATAATGATGCATCAATTTTAAGAAGCACTCGGAGTTACGCACCTACTGTCTCCTCAGCTTCACAACGACATAATAATAATAATAATGATGCATCAGTTTTAAGAAGCACTCAGAGTTACGCACCTACTGTCTCCTCAGCTTCACAACGACATAATAATAATAATAATAATGATGATGCGCCAGTTTTAAGAAGCACTCAGAGTTACGCACCTACTGACTCCTCAGCTTCACCTACACAACGACATAATAATAATAATAATAATGATGATGCGCCAGTTTTAAGAAGCACTCAGAGTTACGCACCTACTGTCTCCTCAGCTTCACCTACACAACAAAATAATAATAACGATGCATCAGTTTTAAGAAGCACTCAGAGTTACGCACCTACTGTCTCCTCAGCTTCACCTACACAACAGCGACATAATAATAATAACGATGCATCAGTTTTAAGAAGCACTCAGAGTTACGCACCTACTGTCTCCTCAGCTTCACAACGACATAATAATAATAATAATAATGATGCGCCAGTTTTAAGAAGCACTCGGAGTTACGCACCTACTGTCTCCTCAGCTTCAGCTTCACCTACACAACAGCGACATAATAATAATAATAATGATGCATCAGTTTTAAGAAGCACTCAGAGTTACGCACCTACTGTCTCCTCAGCTTCAGCTTCACCTGCACAACAACGTAATAATAATGATGACGCATCAGTTTTAAGAAGCACTCGGAGTTACGCACCTACTGTCTCCTCAGCTTCACCTACACAACAACGACATAAAATAATAATAACGATGCGTCAGTTTTAAGAAGCACTCAGAGTTACGCACCTACTGTCTCCTCAGCTTCAGCTTCACCTACACAACAACGTAATAATAATGGATGACGATGCATCAAGTTTTTAAGAAGCACTCAGAGTTACGCACCTACTGTCTCCTCAGCTTCACAACGACATAATAATAATAATAAATGATGCGTCAGTTTTAAGAAGCACTCGGAGTTACGCACCTACTGTCTCCTCAGCTTCACAACGACATAATAATAATAATAATGATGATGCGCCAGTTTTAAGAAGCACTCAGAGTTACGCACCTACTGTCTCCTCAGCTTCAGCTTCACCTGCACAACAACGTAATAATAATAATGGTGACGCATCAGTTTTAAGAAGCACTCAGAGTTACGCACCTACTGTCTCCTCAGCTTCAGCTTCACCTACACAACAACGACATAATAATAATAATAATGATGCATCAGTTTTAAGAAGCACTCAGAGTTACGCACCTACTGTCTCCTCAGCTTCACAACGACATAATAATAATAATAATAATGATGATGCATCAGTTTTAAGAAGCACTCGGAGTTACGCACCTACTGTCTCCTCAGCTTCACCTACACAACGACATAATAATAATAATAATGATGCGCCAGTTTTAAGAAGCACTCAGAGTTACGCACCTACTGTCTCACCTTCACACAACAACATAATAATAATAATAATGATGCGCATCAGTTTTAAGAAGCACTCAGAGTTACGCACCTACTGTCTCCTCAGCTTCACAACGACATAATAATAATAATAATGATGATGCATCAGTTTTAAGAAGCACTCGGAGTTACGCACCTACTGTCTCCTCAGCTTCACCTACACAATCAAAATAATAATAACGATGCATCAGTTTTAAGAAGTACTCAGAGTTACGCACCTACTGTCTCCTCAGCTTCACCTACACAACGACATAATAATAATAATAATGATGCATCAGTTTTAAGAAGCACTCAGAGTTACGCACCTACTGTCTCCTCAGCTTCACCTACACAACAAAATAATAATAACGATGCATCAGTTTTAAGAAGCACTCAGAGTTACGCACCTACTGTCTCCTCAGCTTCACCTACACAACGACATAATAATAATAATAACGATGCATCAATTTTAAGAAGCACTCAGAGTTACGCACCTACTGACTCCTCAGCTTCAGCTTCACCTACACAACAACGACATAATAATAATAATAATGACGCATCAGTTATAAGAAGCACTCAGAGTTACGCACCTACTGTCTCCTCAGCTTCACCTACACAACGACATAATAATAATAATAATGATGCATCAGTTTTAAGAAGCACTCAGAGTTACGCACCTACTGTCTCCTCAGCTTCAGCTTCACCTACACAACAACAAAATAATAATAACGATGCCTCAGTTTTAAGAAACACCCGGAGTTACGCATCTACTGACTCCTCAGCTTCACCTACACAACAAAATAATAATAACGATGCATCGGTTTTAAGAAGCACTCGGAGTGATGCACGTCCTGTCGTCACAGCAGCTGAAGACGCATCTTCACCTGAGCGACAATTTAACCGTGAGTCCTGCAGCTCCACGTGTGCAGTCCTGTGTTTTAACGACGCTTGTTTTAATTAAGTTTTGTGACTCGCAGGTCTCGTCCTGTACGTGGCTCTGGCAGCGACTCTGCTCCTGCTCGTGGTGATTCTGGCCGTGATTCTGTGCTGGAAAAAAAAGAAACTCAACAAACCAAAAGGTGATAAATTGTTAAGTGTTATTACCGTAAATTCCAGACTATAAGCCGCTACTTTTTTCTCACACTTTGAACCCTGCGGTGAAAAAAACTGATGCGGCGAATATGCGGACAGATTCTTTGTTTGGCACTTCATATACTGTATTTTACGGGCTATAGAGGCTTTGCACCGTCACGAGTCGCCCATGGCAACGGTACCTACGCCGCCATGACACCGGGCACACTTCTTCACTTGCCGCTTGATTGGTCGGTTGGAAAATAGAGTCCCGCGGTCACTTCCATTGTGTCTTTTTGATGTGTTGTGGCTTTTTAAAGTGTTGTGGCTTTTTAATGTGTTGCAGCATTTGCGTTTGTGTTGTGGCGTTTGTATTTGTTAATTAACTCATTAAAACAGAGTCCTGCGGTGACTTCCGTTGTGTCTTTTTTTGTTTGTTTGTTGTGGCTTTTTGTTGTGTTGTCGCATTTGTATTTGTTGCGGCGTTTGCGTTTGTTGTGACCCGTTTGTTAAGTGAGAGGTGCAGAAGACAAACAGACTGAGCTCACTCTTTCTTGTTTTACGTCTCTTTGCAGTGGAAGGTGTTTCTTGGATTCCGATGGGACAGGAAACAGTTTGTACAGAGGTTTGCAGTCACACACATCTGATTCCCTTTTGCAGTTATGGAGTTCACAAACATCCAACAACCACACAATTACGATGTCCGAATCCCAAAACTAAAATATGACAATATCAGAACCAGAAACAAAAGTGACATGGTTCAAAAAACTTGAAAAGATCGACTTTGACGATAGACACATCCCACTGGGAAAATAAACATGGAGGTTTGATGCTCACTTTTTCAGAAAATTCCTTCCCAGTGTGGATTGCGCGATGACCTGAAGTCTGAAATTCGTGATGCATGTATTAGGGATGTAACAGTAACCGAAATATTGTGATATCGTGTCGTCAGAAGTCTCACAATAATATTGTTTCTTTGCTTAAATGCATTGTTTTATAGTAGCAACAGCTCATAACGGGTGGGCAAACGTTTTATCTCGTGGGCCACAAAGGGTTCCTAAATTGAATGGACCAGGAGCAGATGGATGGAGTGGAGAGAAAAAAGTAACATGGGATATGCAGAAAACCTGTGCTTGGATTTCAACTGAAAATCCTTACAAAGCATTATCGAGGCTCACTGCAGCAGGTACAGAGAGAGGAGCCACAAGATCCTACAGGGCCCGGTCAAGCAGAAGTAAACAGCAAGGCCAAAAATACAAGTTAATGCATCTGATATAAAAATGTATTGAACAGATACATATGTACTCTAGTTTATGAAACTGTTGACCTTTTTTCTGTACCATTTTTGGTTCTAAAGTTCCATACGTTTTAAACAGACCATGTATGAAACATGGAACAAAAATTATTTCCAAAATTTCAAAGACCCAAAAATCATGTAAATAAAGGGATGTATTTCATCATCATTTCAAGGTACATGATTTTTCAAAAAAAAAAAAAAAAAAATTTAAAATGATAAAAATTAGCTTGGAAGGACTGACATATTTTATAGAAATAGTTTCCTTTCATTTTGAAGTAATATTAAAGTATTTGGAAGAAAAATGCGACAAATTATGTAAAATCCTGCACCTTCTACTTGTTTGTACAATTTTCCCTTCCGTTACTTTTCCCTCCGTTACCATGACTTTTCTTAATAAAAAATCTCATGACTCAAAAAGTACAAGGTTTTTCACCCTAATCTTGTACCATATGGTAGAAAACTATATGAAGCAAATATTCAAACCAGTTTGTTAAGGATATGTAAGTGAGAACCAAGAGTTATCACTGTTTGGATTTATTGCCCAAAAAGTGCTGCATATTTCATTCCCTCCGTTACCGACATGAGTTTTAAAATTTTTTTGTCAACAACTTGAAAGAATATCACAGGTTTAACTTGACCCTGTTGGAGTGTAACTCTTTCCTACATTCTGATACTTTACTTATTTCAATAGTTCCTCTAGTTTCTGAATAAGAGACATTTGAATGTCAAAAATCTGCCCCTGTTTCCCTCCATTACTGCTTGACTGGACCCTAATGTAAGTCCACTGGAGCCAGAGTCAGAAGGAGCTGGAAGAGCCTCCTGGAGAACTTCCTGTTTGGCACACGGCGGTTACAGCGTTAGATCTGTCCACTCGTATATACGGTCTATGGTTGTATGAAAGTGATGATGATAATGATGTATAGACAGTGTTGGGGAGTAACAGATTACATGTAATCGGAGTACAAATTATGAGTAACTGTATTCAGTTACTGTTTCAGTGAGTGGTAATTGGATTACAGTTACTTTGTTGAAATAAATGGATTACATGGTGGTATTTTCCTGTTTTCACATTCTTTTTTTTCCGGTAATCCCACTCATTGCCGGACACTAAATCATGTCTAAAACCAGGTCTAAACCAGGTCTAAACCAGGACTAAACCAGGACTAAAACCAGGTCTAAACCAGGACTAAAACAGGTCTAAACCGGGACTAAAACCAGGACTAAACCAGAACTAAACCAGGACTAAAACCACCACTAAACCAGAACAAAACCAGGTCTAAACCAGGACTAAACAAGGACTAAACCAGGACTAAAACAGGTCTAAACCAGGACTAAAACCAGGACTAAACCAGAACTAAACCAGGTCTAAACCAGGACTAAAACCAGGACTAAAACCAGGACTAAACCAGGACTAAACCAGGTCTAAACCAGGTCTAAAACAGGATTTAACAGGACTAAATCATGCTGTGCGGACAGTGTCTCTTCTTCTATCAATAATATTTTTAATTTGGTTCAGTAAAGTCTGGGCTTTTTCTTTTCTTTTATCAGACAAAAAACATTTTATGTGAAGATTTCCTCATCTTTGCTTCTCTACAGCAAATCAAGTAATCCAAAGTATTCAGATTACATTACTCACTTGAAGTAACTTAATGGATTACATTACAACTTAATGGATTACATTACAAACTACATTTTGGGGTATATAATCTGTAATCTTACGGGAATACATTTTAAGTCACCTTGCCAACACTGACCAGGACTAAGCCAGGTCTAAAGAGAGCAAAAAGAAAAGTTACATAGCACATTTTTAGTTTAATTTTAATATAAAAGTGGCTGTTTCCTGATGCAAAATCAACTAACGTAGAAATGAATAAAATAAAACAAAACATATTGGTAACATTTATATAATTGGAGTTATAATTCCTTTCTTTGTCTCGTCAGGTGGAAGCTGATGCCAACGAAAAATCTGAAGTAAATTTTACCAGGAGCAGCAGCAGCAGCAGCAGCAGCGCCCCCATGTGTCAGACAGAAGAAACTACAGGCCAAACTGTTTAGTCCACTCACCCTTATGAAAAATAATACTCCCTACATCTGTACGACAACTCACCTTTATGTGACAGATAATACTCCCTACAACTGTACAACAACTCGCCCTTGTGTAACAGATAATACTCCCTACAACTGTACGACAACTCACTTTATGTAACAGATAATACTCCCTACAACTGTACGACAACTCACCTTTATGTAACAGATAATACTCCCTACAACTGTACAACAACTCGCCCTTGTGTAACAGATAATACTCCCTACAACTGTACAACAACTCACTTTATGTAACAGATAATACTCCCTACAACTGTACAACAACTCACTTTATGTAACAGATAATACTCCCTACAACTGTACAACAACTCACCCTCATGTAACAAATAATACTCCCTACAACTGTACAACAACTCACAATGTAACAGATAATACTCCCTACAACTGTACACAACTGTCACTCCCTTATGTAACAGATAATACTCCCTACAACTGTACAACAACTCGCCCTTATGTAACAGATAATACTCCCTACAACTGTACAACATCTCACTTTATGTAACAGATAATACTCCCTACAACTGTACAACAACTCACTTTATGTAACAGATAATACTCCCTACAACTGTACAACATCTCACTTTATGTAACAGATAATACTCCCTACAACTGTACAACAACTCACCTTATGTAACAGATAATACTCCCTACAACTGTACAACATCTCACTTTATGTAACAGATAATACTCCTGTCGTGAACCCCCCCCTTCGGCCACAGGAGAGCTCACTTGGGTGGGGTAAAAAGATGAAGGTTTTGGCGTAAGCCCCACTAAAAGGGCTCCTGAATTCAGATGAAGATGTTCATGATGCTTTATTTTGATAATTGAATAACTGTTAGAGCATTAGAGATTAAGAGTGTTTGATTTAGATATTAGAAGTGCTTTTGTGACCCATATTACCATGAGTTACTTGTTTTGCTTTGATTTAATCTGATTTGTTTCCTTTATATTGATTTGCTTAATTCTTTCAATTTAAATTTTTAAGTTTAGGTTATTTTGCAATAATTTCTGTAACCGTTATGTTTGTGTGCAGGAAAGATAAGGACCTTCTGTTCTTTTGACAGTTGACCTTTATTTGACATTGATGTACGAAACCTATATGTTATGCGGCGTGCGGGAGGCCTGTATGCAATGCGGATGCGAAGCTTCCTCCTCCTTCGACGAAGCGAGGTGGCCTTTACTTCACACCTGGCCGGGGCAGAGGCGTAGGGGCTAGAATGGTGAAGATTGTGGTTTCTAAGAAGTGTTGCCTGTACTTGAAAAAATGTGTGCTATCTGTGACGTACTGATCACTTTGCATGTACCTGGGTGGAGTTCTGTGACCCTAGATAAATATTGAAAATTCCGCATAATAATTCAGATCCTGATTTTTGGTTGGCGTTGGCCCTCCGGCTGTAACTCGGCTAAGGAGGTCAGATCTCAAATTCGGACTAGGCTGTGCTTTATAGCTTTCCTGGTCACAGGGTAATTTCTCCAAAAGGTACTTGCAAGGTGATTTGTCCTAATTATTTTTGTATGAGCTTTTTGGTAAAAATACAATAAAAAGCAGATGAAATAAGACAAAGACAAATCACTTGTTGGAATCTTTTGTTGAGTCTTTCCCTC